TTTTTTAATACTGTATGTGTGTGTGTGTGTGTGTGTGTGTGTGTGTGTGTGTGTGTGTAAATTAAAGTTTGCTCCATTTCTTGGTGAAATTTCATGGGTGAGATCCATTCATTCCTATAGGAATTCATGTGATCAGAGAAATACATGTGAGGGCGAAAAATTTTCCCACACAGATTTTGATCAAGTAATTTGAAATCCCAACAGAAAGCTGCTTATTTTGAAAGTGACTTATGTGTGAGCTGTGCTTCACTACGCTACTGACAATGGACAATAAATATTTTTTTTGCACACAAAGTTGTGCTGAAATGTGTCGACCTTTTTCTTCAATGCGGAAGTAATCCTATGGGCAAGACTTCCCGTTCATTAGCTGCTATAGGGAAATAATGAGAAGAATAACAACGTGCGGTAAACGGTAAAACTGTTTGTACTACAAACCAGAGTGTTCATAATTAAGATAATACATTAAAAGAAAATGGTAAGACACACCAGTTTGCAATATCAAGCAGCAAAACGAGCTGTATTGTACAGCTAAAAATAGCTGGAAGCGGATGAGACCGGAAGCCAGACACATACAATTTACAATTTTACACTCTCATGGGAAAAATAAGGTGGATATAAAACACCAGTGATTCACAACCACTTGCTAAGAAACTCACATTCACGTAAAGTAGCCTTGTTGACAAGTTTGGGTGAGTACGTGCAAAACGCACAAGATATAGTACTTTCAGTGCCCTGTAGTTGGCGATATCACTTCTTTTGCTGCTGAAAAAGCTAGGTGCCATGCAAAATGTAATGTGTAATTGCAACACTCATTACAAATGTAGTGGAGCAAAAGGTACAGATGCTTATTCAAAAATAATATCTTTGTTACTCACTCAGTAAAACTACCAAAAAGATACTCAAGTACAGTAATTGATTGCATTTACTCAAATACTTTACACCTCTGCTAATACGTCTGTCTGATGGGAAAGTGTGTGTGTTTGTAGGTAAACACCTGGTTTCTGGTTCAGCCTTCACATCATCTAGAGAGGAATTAGAAGACATAGTGGCGGCTGAAATCGCCGTGTTGAGTCTGGTGGAGCTTGGAATAACATCAGGTTTCTGAGAGGAGTGTGTTTCTGTCAAAAAGAAGCATTGGAAGAAATGATGAATCTTGAATGTGTAAAAATATGGTATTGAATGGTATCCCTTGTGAAACAAAGGTACACTTTAGCATACTTAAGAGCACTTATTGTATTAAGAGTACTTATTAAACTGTAATGTATTATAGTTAAAATTTATATTAAATGCAATTAGTTGAACTTTAGTGTGCTTTTTTGACCCACTTAGTTATATTTCTATTATCTTTGAAATGTGGTTAGGGTGCACTGCTGAATGTACTGACAAGCATTTATGGTAAACTAAAATATACTTTAATGTCAATTTTATTGAAACTTGTAAGTCATGTATTGAAATATACTTGTAATTACACATTTAGAATGATGAAGTTGCAATTTAAAATATATTAGCTTTAAATTTAATATCAAATAACACACTACAGTTAAAGTTATAATCTAGTACTTTACATGCGCTATAGTGTTAGTCAACACATCAAAATACGTGTATTTCTTTAAAGATATATATACTTTTAAGATTTGAAGTAAACTACAAGTGCACATTTAATACAATGAAGTGCACTATTTGTCACAAGGGATGAAATTATTTTATTTCAACAAAGATAGATCCATTTTCAGTAATGAAAATTCTGTCATTATTTACTCACACTCACATTGTTCCAAACTCCATGGCAAAAATAACAGCATGCAGGTTTGGAACGATTTGAGGGTGTATAAATAATAATAGAATTTTCATTTCTGGGGGTGGACTGTTCCTTAAAGAAAAAATGTATGATTTTTATACGTTTGTATTAGTTCTCTTCAAATTCAATAAGCACCTGTATCATCAAGGTTTTCCAGGCTTTGCGCCCTCCTCTCTTCTTGACTCTCTTCTTTTACAGTCGACAGAACTTCCTGTGAGGCCGACCTACACGGCTGGATAGAGTTTTTCTTCTTTCTCGAGGACGCAGCACGGAGAGCTAAAAGTAAAAAGAAAGAGGGGAAAATGTGAGGTTTGGTACATCATTTCAAATGATCATATTCATTCAAACTGAATTCCATTGTAAATAATAAGCATTAAACTTACGGTGAATCTTTTTAAATACTGTGGTGCCCATGAACTTCAGGAATCTGTCAGCGTAGAAATTAGGTCTATGGACAGATACTGTGTCCTAGCATGCAAAGTAGCAAAGAGCCATAAATCATGATAAAGTTCAAAAAGAAGTATATAAAAATATATTTAATGTAAAAAAGAAAAAATACATACGCCATCATGCACAAGAGCTTTCCACGAGTGCTCAACCTTCTTTATAAATCTGTATATATGAGATAGAAATGTTCAATATTCAAATAAGTCATCTTTAATTGAAATAGTAATTATTCTTATCTTTTGTCAGGTGATTCATACCTATAGGACTGCAGGATATCAATGATCCCCAGAAAGATCAGCAACTTCTCGTCTTTGTGTTTAGCAGGAATGCCACCCAATCTAGAACAAAAACACATGATTATTTCAAAACGAATCCAAGGTCAGTCATAAAACGTATTAGAAATATTTTAGAAACATGGAGGACATATTTTCAGCTTTTCAACATTATTCAACATTTCAACATAATCAGAGAAGTTTTATTTCACATATATATGGTACATTTTTTAAATGTCTCACAAAGGATGAATTTATTTGACCAAAAATACAGTAAAACTAGTAACATTGGAAAAACAATTATTACATATTTCTATTTGAATACATGTTAAAATGTGATTTTATTGCTGTGATCAAAGCTGAATTTTCAGCATCATTACTGCAGTCTTCAGTGTCACATGATCCTTCAGAAATCAGTCTAATATGCTGATTTGATGCTCAAGAAACGTTTCTGATTATTATCAATGTTGAAAACAGTTGAGCTGCTTAATTTGTTTGTGGAAACCATGATACTTTTTTATTTTCAAGATTCTTTGACAAATAGAAATGTCAAAAAGCAGCATTTATTTGAAACTGAGATCTTCTGTCTTTACTGCTGTCATGTTCCCTTTTAGTTTCAGTTTCACCTTGTTTTCATGTGTTTTGTTCCTGTGTCCTTTGTTCTATCACTAGTTTGTTGCCACAGTTACTCATTGGTTCGTTGATTATGTTCGCCTGTGTCTTGTTTAGTTCCTCATCAGCCTGTGTATTTATACGCCCTCAGGTTCCTCAGTCCTTTGTTCAGTATCATCTTTGCATGTTTTGTGTAAAGCTGTTGCGGTTTCTGCTACTCTTACATTACTGGATTATGTTAATTTGTTTTTATTGTTAATAAAAGTATTTAGGCTGCACATAGATCCATGTCTCCTCTTCCTTGCCTGACCCACCATGACAACTGCCACTTTCAATCTATTTAATACATCCTTGCTTAAAGCTGCAGTCCGTAAGTTTTGCCTCTTTGTCGCCATCTCTGTTTGAAAACCTGGCATTGCAGCTGTGTGCGTAATTATCTAGCTTGCGTGGGTTGTGAGTCGGCACGGCAATTTCCCGCGAAAACCTACCCATACCACTCAAATTAGAAAACGTTATTATAAGCTAACCGTTGTGAATCGGGCTAAAGTAAGGCGATAGTTTTGAACACTGGCTGCCAATGTACTTGCTCAAATATTGATTTCGGGTAATTTTTAACCAAAAAAAGTCACGGACTGCAGCTTTAATAAAAATACTACTTTCTTTAAAAAAAAAAAAAAGTACTGACCCCAAACATTTGAACAGTAGTGTACAAATAAATATTTGGCATGTCTGACATTCTTTGTCTTTCATTTCTCTTTACTCCACTCACGTGTCGTCATCGGCATCAGGAAGAGTCTCGGCTGCTTTGCCGTCTCCTTGAATTGACTCGCGGGCTGTGGAGTACAGGACCTTCTGCCCACCCTGACGCTTACTGTCCCCTATCCCGCCTCTCCCCCTCAGCTTCCTGTCCAGAACATGGATGCCCAGCAGCAAACTGTAGTCCATGATTTTAAAGCTTTCCAGCACCTGTGGAATAAAATGAATGGAAATCATAACCACAAACCACTTTTAATCCTGAAGAGCTCTGTAGTGATCAACAACACGACTCACCCGACAATCTCTCTGAAGAGTCTTCACCAAGGCGTTGTGCGTGTCTGCATCAAAGTAAAGACCTTCGTGCATCTCCTGGAAGTCCAGGTCTTTAAAGGTCGGGGAGGGTTTGGCGTGCTCCTTCCGTGACGCTCTGCGTTTGTAAGTGGAGCCCTTTAAGTCATATTTGTAGTGCATTTTCAAAGAGCGAGGCAGGATATTGTTCATCACCACCAATCGGATATTAACGCCGCCACATTGAATACAGTACAGCCCGTAAAACTTCGGTAAGAGGGTCCTCGGGTTCTGATTCAGATTCTGCAATCAGGAAGGACAAGATTAATTTTTAATCTAGAAAAGAACATTTATCGGTGTAAAAAAATTCTGTAAATTTAATGTACAATTGTCAGAAAATAGTGGAGGCCAAGCTAAACGCATTATTTTTGCACATTTAATAATTAAAAATAATCACAATTTGATAATTAAATAAAATTAATTAATAATTATATAATTAATTTATTAACATCTTAAACTGACAGGCCTAATATTTAGTGTTTTAATGTGTTTTAATATGTAGTGTAGTCCTGTATTTCTACAGCAAACAGGGCCATAAAACAACTGTAAAGTAACTGTGCTGTAAAATTATTAACCGTAGTTGTTTTTTTTCTCTATTAATAACCGTAAATATGAGCAACTGAATTGAGATATGAGCAGTGTATTGTGCAGTTTCTTCCTTGTTATTGTGGTGATTGTGTGGCTCACCATGTAGTAACCTGGAAGCAGCTTCTGCAGAAATTCAGCTTCTTTGTGCTGCACAGTCTTTATGATGAACTCATCGTCACTGGTTAAGTAAAACCATGAACTACTCGCTCCAGGGTTTGACAGCTCTATCAGAGGTTCTTTACAAATAGAGTACTGCAGATGAGAAAAAGATGCATTATTAATGCAGATTCGACAGAAAACACAAAAACAAGTGCACTTGGATCATTTTCATTATATAGAGAGTAAAACAAAAAATTAACTGAAATGAATCTAAATAGAAATATTAACAAAAATGGCACACATATTAAATAATATATAAATATTACTAAAATAATATTGCATTTTTTTGTCCCCATGACTGTGCACTGATATAATTTATAGGATGCTAAACTTTACCTTACATTATTTAGTATTTATTTGATATACTTATTATACATCAAATATTTATTATATATTTGTATTATACACATTTATAAAGTAATTTTAAATAAATAAAATATTATTTATATGTATCATTAATTTTATTCCATTAGCATGTCCAATTTATCACCATTATATTTTAGAACCATTTTGCTTACTGTTTAGAATTTCACGATCCTTGACAGTAAATTATTTCGTCATCTTTCATGATTGTATTAGTAAGTCTCCTGCGGTTTACTGCTCTTACCAAATAATCGTCTGGTTTAATCCCAAAGAGCTCCCTAAAGTAACGGAAAGCCAAGGGAGCATAATTTTTAAAGCGAAAGTCAGGGTAATGGTGAGCTGGGGTCAGATTACTGCCTTCACTGAAAGACAAAAGACACAATATATATATAAAAAAAAAAAAGTGTACTTCTGTCTCAAAACCTAGTGATCCTATACAGCATTGTTAGGAATCAACCAATCACAAAAGGTATTCAGCTGCACTAATTAATTATGCAGAAGATATTAAATAAACTGATAACTACAACAGAACTGTTGACATTTTGAACGGAGCAATTGTATCTCAATGTTTGAATAGGGAGTCTATGGCAACCACACATTACATCTGTCAAGTGTCAAGCACGGTACGTGTGCGGTAATACCTCGGGAGAAAGACACTCTCAACAACGTAGAAGTCTTGCATGAGAACATCTCTGTCTGGTTTGGAGGTCATATTGCCGACTGTGTACCCGATGCCGAGCTGGATGGCTCCTCTCAAGGCTTCAGCTGTGGGCTGGAGACAAACACACACAGAAAATGAATGTAGAACAGGCCTCAGATCATGAGCAAATACTGACGTACAGGAAATCAATCATCACTCTGCAGAGATAACGCTATTCTTATCAGCACTAAAAGCACACACGTGGGAGGAAGTTGAAGACAAGGAAGTCGAGGCATATGGCCACGTTTGAGGCCTGGTTTTACAAGAAGTCATTTACTGCTAGAGTGCCACAATGTGAGCAAATAAATCGCAACTACTTAGCAACGCCCTGACAACCACCCACGAGTTAGGATTGTGACGCCTACTGCAGAGTGTAAAAATATCAAACATGTACAGTACTACAGTACATTTATCCCTCCAAACTAACTCTTTCACAATAATTTTCATAAATTATAATTTTGAATATTCATGATAACCTTACTGCATGAAGGCCTCAATTACAACAATAATGCACAAAACACATGCCCATATTTAACAATCAAAAGAAAAAATAAGAAATTATATTTTCCATTAAAAAAATTATGCCCATTTCTTTCATGAAAATCAAGCACATTTTAAAACCAAATTCTTGGTAACGTAATGTGTCCAGAAACATGATTATTATTATTATTATTATTATTATTATTATCATCATACTTTTTCATCATTCTCATAATACATTCAGTAAAAAAATCTTGTCCAGACAATTAATTTTTTAATTAAAATTTGTGTAAATAAAAGGTAGTACCATAAATACATAGTAGTATTAATACTTTATAAATAATAATAAATATATTTATTTTTCAATCAGTCAAAGTATAATTTCATATCAAATTAATAAACCATTTTAATTGATTATTTTCATGTAAAATAAATATTTTTAAAATAATAATTTTGTTGCTTTGCAGCATGAAATGAAGACGGACAGTTTTTGTTTTATCAAGCTGTATTTACAAGTGAACATCCAAGTGAAAGATATAATACCAACATGTCAGAAAAAAAGGATATAATAATAATAATAATAATAAACCAGATTCACTGAGTTGGAAAAATGATCAGCCCCTTGTGTCAGTATTTTGTTGAACCACCTTTTGCTTTAATTACAGCTTTTAGTCTGTTGGGATTTTTCTCTGCTAACTTTGCACATCTAGACTTTGCAGTATTTGCCCACTCATCGTTGCAGAACTGCTCAAGTTCAGTTAAATGTGATGGTGTGTGTTTGTGAACTGCAGTCTTCAAGTCATTGCACAGATTTTCAGTGGAGTTTGAGTCTGGGCTCTGATGAGGCTATGCAAGGACATTCAGCTTTTTCTCCTTCAGCTACTGTGTGCTCAGTTTTGCTGTGTGCTTTGGGTCATTGTCATGTTGGAAGGTAAACCTTCTTCCCATTGACAACTTCCTGGCAGAGAGCAGCAGATTTTGACGGTATTTTGCCCGGTCCATTTCTCCTTCTATCCTGACAAGTGCTCCAGTCGCTGCTGCAGAGAAACACCCCAGAACAGGATATCACCACCTCCATGCTTTTCTGGAGGAACGCTGTTATTTGGATGCTGAGCTGTATTGGATTTCTGCCAGACATATCGTTTGGTGTTGAGACCAAATAATTCAACTTTAGTCTCATCTGCCTCAGAATCTTCAAGGTGTGTTTTGGCAAAGCTCGGTCGTGACTGCATGTGGCCTTTCTTGAGGAGCAGCTTTTTTCTTGCAACTCTCCCATACAAGCCACATTTCGGATTTCCTCCAGACATATTGTTAGGTGTTGAGGCCAAATAATTTAATTTTAGTCTCATCTGCCTCAGAATCTTCAAGGTGTGTTTTGGCAAAGCTCGGTCGTGACTGCATGTGGCCTTTCTTGAGGAGCAGCTTTTTTCTTGCAACTCTCCCATACAAGCCACATTTGTGGAGAATTTGTGATATTGTTGTCACAAGCACACAATGATCACTCTTTATCATAAATTCCTGCAGCTGCTTCAGAGTTGCTGTCGGCTCTTGGTCGCCTCTCCGAACAGTTTCCTCCGGCTCTTTCATCCAGTTTGGAGCGACGTCCTGATCCAGAGATGGTCTGTGTTTTACCAAATACCTTCCACTTCTTAATAACAGACTTCACCGAGCTTCTAGGCATTGATAACGCCTTTGGAATTGTTTGAATTCATCTCTTGACTTGTGCCTGTCCACAACTTAATCCTGGAGATCTGCACCTGATTGAGTTTACAAGTCATGTTGAGGAGGGGGTGATCCTTTTTTCAAGTGATTCAGTTTTTTTTTTGTTTTTTTATTACATTACATTATTTATTGGTGTTATTATCTTTCACTTGGATGTTATAAGTTGCACTGAGTAAATACAGCTGAATAAAACAAAAACTGTGTCCGTCTTCATTTCAGGCTGCAAAGCAACAAAATGTGATTATTTTAAAGGGGGTGATTCTTTTCTATACCCACTGCATGTTAATATTTATATCTAAAATATATTATATATTAATACATTATATAAGATTTATATATTCATATATAAATGAGATATTTTGTGGTATTATGATAATTAAAAGCAATGTGGTGGAGTGGCTGCTTAATATGAAAATAATCTTTTTATTAATAATTCTTTTGATTTGGGGGTGAACATATGGATATGTTATATGCATATGCATACATAAATTATGAACATATCCATATTCTGGAAGTATTCTTAAACACTGTTTGTGAGATTTATGCTACAATGTATCACATTGTGTCTTTTTTCTCTTAAACCTATTGCCCAATTATTTCTGTCATCTTTTGTTCCAGCTATTTATATACAGGAAATTACAAAATTGTCTCTAAACCCCACAAGCCATTTTTTGGCCAAACATCCACAATGTGAATATGCTAATCTAAGATCATGAGCCTCTATGGTCCACATGGCATGGCACATGGCTATAGTGTGGTCACCGTTATGTAACAGTCAGCAGGAAAACAGCATTTCAGACAAACAAGTATGACAAATCAGAGTGGGATATGCAAAAATCAAATCCCACTAAATCCCAAAAGAGCTCACAGCACAAACGCTACATTGTGCCACAGAAAAATATGTTGGGTTGAGCAAAAAATAATCTATTGCACACCAAAGCCTAGAAACCAGACAAATAGAAAATGACAAATAATTTCTCCTAAACAATGAAATTAAATACAGAGACGCTTGCCGTAGACTCCTGCTTCTCAGATTTCCCTCCTTAGAATAAGACCTCATGTATCTCACATGAGTTTCAGAAGAGCTATGTGACACTATCATTCATTTTAAAGCTTTATATTCTTACTGTATGTCAACAATTGTCTCATTTGCTACTATTTGATGTTTCTGAGGAATTTTGGTTACTTACATTAATACTTGAAATGCAACTCAGAACTTTATTTACATTAGCAATACATTATTTCTTGTGCAGTATGCATCTGTGTAGAGAGTTGTCCAACTTCTTTAGTTTATTAACCTAAATAATTCTTCAGCTTCAGCCAGTAATAAATAAAATTAGAAGTGTAAATAAACTAAATCAATTCATCAGTTTATCACTGATACATACAGATAAAACATTGTTCTATATTTTACACACCTTTTTGTGGTCTTTGCCCCCGGTTTTTTGAGGTCTTCCACCTCTGGTCTTGTCTGCCGTTGAATTCATCTATTATTTAAGGTAAATATAAAAAATACATAACAATTCCAATCATCAAAATTGCAATATGAATGTCTCAAGGCCCCAAAAATGATTAAATCAACATAATAATAGTGCACTATTAAAATAAAAATATGTAAAGGTAGCTTCAACTGTGAGCGCTGTGCACATTATCAAACAGGAAATGAAGTCATGGGATGTTCCTGTTCTTGGTAGAATTCAAAGCTGCTGATGCAAGAGATGCAACTCTAAAGCACCTCATTAGAAAGAGACTCAAGTTTCCTCCTGACACGATTGCAACGTTTCAGTAGGACCATATCTGAATGATGCAGCATATATAATCACACAAAATTTAGAGAAGTTGGAGTTTTGCTTAGTGACATGATGTTGGTAGTAAACAAAGGAGGGAAAACACATGCAAAATTTAATACTTTTCCTTTTCATACAGCAGTGCTCTATTCAAATAAAGCTGTCAATAGCCTCAGGGGCCATAAAAGCTGTTAGTCTATATGAGTGAATGTTACAAAATCATGACCGGGTCTCATTTCACCCAAAAGTCTGGGGATAATTGTCATGAAAATGATAGATAGATCTGCTACATAGAAATATAAAAACATATGAGCATATTAAAGTCACATGAACATAATTATTTGTACTGCTTGCTAAAGACATAATATGAATGATGGGTTAGTCCTGTTTTTTTGCCTGGATATATTCATTTATTTAATTAAATGACTTGAAAACATCTATTCTATCATGAACATATTTTCAGTTTCTGAAATAAAATTAATTTTGACATTTTTGGAGGCATATCATTTCCAGGGTGTTCCAACTGATGACATCACGAAAAAAAATAAAATAAATAAATATAAAACCTGAAGAATTAGTTAATGCATAATGCATTATTATTATTATTTAGAAAAAAAGTAAGCTTCACTGCATATCAATATATGAAAAACTTCAAAACAAATCAAAGTCATGTGGTGCAATCAACATACAGAAACATGCAGGAAAAAGCAGCCACCTGAAATACCATAGCAATACCCTAGCAACCACCCACAACACCTTAGCACCTACGTGATGGCTTCATTTTCTTTATGCAAATATAATTTCTTATTTTTTTCATTCTTATTTTGGAGTGAAATACAACCGTAACCCTAGCATGAACTGTATACACCACTTTGGCCAATTTTGTGTTCAGAACTCAAACCTTTTACTCTCTCAGAAAAGTTATACCTTTCGGGGTTCATTTGTTCAGAAATCTTATAAGAACAACTTTGTACCTTATTTACCCCTAAAAGTTGCATAGTAGTGCCCTGAGTGTTTATACTAGTACTCTAAAGTACTGATATGCACTATTTAGGGGTAGATAAAGTTGTCCTTTTAAGCGTACTTCCCCAGTGACAAGCTGTTGCACTCTTAAAGGCACTTTTTTTTCTGACAGCATGGCATTTTCCTTACCTTGTAAACCGCTCTGCTGTTCATTAGACATTAAAGTCGATGCATATCCAGCTGAAAATGACTCCAGGCGTCTAGTGCAGGAAGAATAAATAGAACATGAGTAGGTGTCAGGCATCTGTCAGTGACTGATACTGAAAGTGAAAGACATGAAGAAAGTGCACAAGCAAAGGAAACAGAGTGCTAAAGTGAACGTAAACAAAGATGGAAAGAATGTTTATGAGGGAAATGGAATAAGTGAGCGTTTAAAGATATTTATACATGCATTAAACACATGGCAAGCGCTGTGTGAGGCTCAATCGTTCCAGAAATGACAGATCACATGCCCACACGCCACTGAATGTTATAAAACAGACTCTGCAAGATATTCAAATTCAACAGATGATGCTCACAGCCTATTTCCCGTTAATCTGATGGCAGAGCCACTAAACAAACATGTTTCTTTGCCATATCTCACGCCGATGAGGAACCATTGAAAGGAGAAAGAGTTCCTACTTAAAAAACATCTCAAATGTTAAAGCATCACACAGCTAAGGAGAATCATTGCAGGTTTTGATTAGTCTATACAGACATTATTTGATGTTGAAAGCTTCGTCATTGACGTCAACAGAACTCAAGATCCCATATCTGGCTTGCTAATCGAGATGAGAAATGAGTTGTACATACCTCAGTGACACTAACTGCTACGAACCAACACAGCAACTAGAGGCTTAAAGTTTTCCGTACTGACTGGCTCCTTGCAGTTAAAATAATATCAAAAAAGACGGATTTGCAATAAATCGTGAAATCTTTCCTAAGACAGCCTGGTCCTCAATGTCCCAGCCCACAAAGTAAGCAAACAATCGCAGCCGTAAGTAAGTACGTAAGAGTCTTGATTCTTGAGGCATGGCCTGTAAGGTAAGGAGGATATTGCTTAAGGCTCTATTGTTTTCACAGCTTTGCTGATTTGCTTGTATCTGTGTCAGCACTGCGGGTGATCAGATATACAGGGCACAAAGCTATAAACACTGAGCTTTATTATACTTTGTGCATTATAAACAGTAACCAGATTTTATGACCAATTTCAGACATTTAACATTGGTTAGCACTGAATACAGGATTTTAACATGAACAGCTGGCATAACTAACCATTAGGATCATAAAATGGTTACCTCTTGAAATTATTAGGCTACACAGTGAAAATGTGCTACATACAGTATATAAATATGCAAATAGAATCACAACAACCACAAAAAAGTAGAAATATCAACATAATTATTAGTGTTGCTTGTTACAGACACAATATGAATGATGGGTCAGTGCTCTTTTTTCATCTAAATATTAATTATTTCAATTCATATATAAAATGACTTGAATATACCTCTTCTATGATGAGCATTTTTTTAATTTCGGAATTAAAATTCATTTATTTAT